AAAGAGTGAGATTCTATACAGAGTCCTTCAAATTCTGCTATAAATGAATCACAAAAAGAAAAGCATAAATAGAAAATTACAACAGAAGCTGTAAGATATAAATTCACTAGAAAAATGTACTTGTCCAAATTACTCATATATGGAAAAAAAAAAGAAATTATTAATATTTTACTTACCAAATCAACAGAGTAAAATTAAGAAGACTGTCCACATGGATTCCCACATAAGAAAACATATTTAATGCAAATGACCACACATGCGTATGTATAAGTATATACAGAATGTAAAATTTCTTACGGGAGGGACAATGGGAACACCAAGGTAACTCCAGTTACGAATCATGTCACTCTCATTTTCTATCTTTACATTCTGGATCAACCTGTCCAAGTTTTCTTCCGTAGTTCCTTAGATAAGTAAAATATGAGTGCACAGTCAAATAATTGCTACCATAATCATTTCCAGGTTTTGGGTATCCAAGAATAAAGCTTTTTTTAAAAAAGCAAACATTTAAATTATATACCCTTCAGTATGCTCCCAATTTCACATTTTTCCTTTTATTTATCTTAACCAACTGTAGCCACTACTTTTGAATTTTCTAAGATTTTCTTACGATCGAATAGTAAACCACTTATTGTAAAATGATTTTAGAGCTGGATATTTTAATATATTCAAGAAAATAAACAGTCTGCATTACCATTAATACTGAATATATAAAGTAGGATTGCTCTTATTTTATCATAATTATCATGATTTTTGTTGAGTAGAACTGGAAGGAGTACTCGCATAGCATCTTTGACTTTCTGTCCTTCTGCGTCAGTTCCAAGTGCCAGGTCCTTAACGAAAATGAAATATAGTCAGTGGTCTATGATCCAAATTCATTTTTCAGTTAAAAAAAACCTATTACTAAAACTTGCCAAATTTTAATGGAACACTGATGCCTTTTCACAGGAAAATGTGAGTATCACTTGTAAACTAATACTGTACAAAATGTAAAAAGTCAAAAAATAATTCAGAGAAGAAAATCATTAATCTATACCTTTGCTAATATGGTAGACATGAGCCGCATGTGGCTACTGAGCACTTGAAATGTGTCTAGTCTGAATTAAGATGTGCTCTAAGTTAAAACACCAGATTCTGAGGACTTGTTTGTGAAAAAAAGAATGTAAAATATTTCAATAATTGTTTTATATTGATTACATGTTGAAATAATATTTTGGATGTACTGGGTTAAATCAAATATATTAAAGTTAATTAACCACACTCATTTCTTTTTACCTTTTTAATGTGACTACTAGAATATTTAAAATTATACATGACTTGCATTCTATTTCTATTAGACAGCACTGATCTAAATAGTTTTGGCATTATAGAGGAGACTTTAATTAAATGTGCCTACACAGTACTCTGCAGGATGCTACCTTAAATGCTGCACCCACTGAAAGAGGCCTGCCAACAGTGCTACCCTGAATTAATGCTCCAAACACTTAAATCATCCCATTCAACCAAAAATGCATAATCACAGATTAGGAGGGACTGCTTACTATGATACTGTATAGCTACTTGTTAGCGTTGGTAAGGAATGATGTATTAAACCAAGTGGGTGAGTCTCCTTCTAAAAGAGGTTCTGTGATCTAGTGCACTGTATTGAACAAAAAGTTAGGTTTTACCTTACAAAGTTAATTCTGGAAATCTATCCTGAACATAGGTATTTCTGGCTCTGCACATACCTGTTCAGTTTTGCAGAGCTTTTCTATATTAGGCTTGAACTTATTCATGCAATCTTCTGCTAAGTTAAGATGAACAACTTGCTGAAAAACAGAAGAAATCAATCATTTAAAGCATTTTCATTTCTTTCTGTGTAACTGATAATATTAAACTTTTGAGATGGGCCTGAAGGAAAGCATGGGCTTTGGTGGGAAGGAGGTACCATGTAAATCAAGGGAAACATCTCCAGAACGGAAAAAAGTGAAAATTACCATGATCTACGGGGGATAATCAACAGACCACAAAAAACAGAATGGAAGGGTTGAATTTGTGTTGGGCTTATGAGTAGTGAAAAATAAGGTGAGAAAAAAATAGTGAAGTCCTTAAAGTCAAGCAGAAAAAGTTTGAATTTATGTTATTGATTCTTGATTAGGGAGCAATATGATAAAAAATATGTAAATATTATTCTGATAAATACTTGTAAGAAGGACTGGAACAGCAAAAAAACAAAACTTTACCTGCCCACACAGCTTTGATTGCTCTTAAATCTACTGATATATAACTATTAATGCAGACATCCCTGGTGGCACAGTGGTTAAGAAATCCGCCTGTCAATGCAGGGGGACACGGGTTTGAGCCCTGGTCCAGGAAGATCTCACATGCCGCGGAGCAACTAAGCCTATGCGCCACAACTACTGAAGGCAGCATGCCTAGAGCCCATGCTCCACAACAAGAGAAGCCACCACAGTAAGAAGTCTGCACACTGCAATGAAGAGTAGCCCCTGCTCACCACAACTAGAGAAAGCTGGCATGCAGCAATGAAGACCCAACGCAACCAAAAATAAATAAATAAAATTTTAAAAATAACTATTAATTCAACGAACCAAGTATAACAACAACCACTTGTCAATCCAATGTTGAATTTTCTTATTAAGCTGATAAATATTAAGCTTTTTCTGTTTGGCTATTCAAGATAAAGATATAAATCAAGAGTATATACAGAGAGAACTTTATTGGGGAGCTTAGATATTTGGGGTATTTCTCAGACCTAAAGTAAGGTTTTAGAGGACAACTAACACCAAGTATTCCATGACACCCACTGCTAAACCCGACTACAGAACTGGATGGACTAATAAACTAAAAATGATAACATATCTTATATACGATACTGCTTACCTTAGTGATCTGTTTACGGAAATGGGGCATCTTTTTCATCAGTTGGGCAAGAGCACTAAGTGATGTCTAGGAAAAATAAAACATTTTTTAAAACAAACTTATGATTCAGTTATTTTTATATAACAAGTTTAAAATCCTGTAGTTTTAAATATTTATTAATTTACTAAATATTTGGCAATTTTAAAAAGAAAACAAATTCAAGGTTTCCAGTTGCAGCCATGATAAAGTAACTGATATAAAAATTATTCTCCGGGGGCTTCCCTGGTGGCGCAGTGGTTGAGAGTCCGCCTGCCGATGCAGGGGACACGGGTTTGTGCCCCAGTCCGGGAGGATCCCACATGCCGCGGAGCGGCTGGGCCCGTGAACCATGGCCACTGAGCCTGCGCGTCTGGAGCCTGTGCTCCACAGCGGGAGAGGCCACACAGTGAGAGGCCTGCGTACCACAAAAAAAAAAAAAAATTCTCCCTCCATAAACAAAAACAAAATTGGACAAAATAAAAAAGACAACAGCTTTCAGGCAAAGGATTTTTCAAAAATAGCTCAAAGCTAGGTTACTTGAGCAAAGGGAAGCAGACGGTGATCCCTGCAGTCATCCTGGCTCTTCCCTGAAACATTTTCCAAAACACAGTGAAAGGAAGTAGAGTATAAGTAGAAAGCAAGTCTCTCTGGGCAGAGGAAAAAGAGGTCAGAGTTTGGGGCTACTGAGGTAGGGTTTGGGGTCCAGGGTTAATAGAGAAAAGAGCCAGTCACAACATAACTCAAAGACGTGTAGGAGGGTTGCCTTAGCATCCCTGGCCAAATACTAAGCTGCACATATACAGGGCATAACTCTTAAAGGCCTAGCAGAGAACAACTGCAGAGATTTCAGAGGGGTCTTAATGCAAGACAATATTGGCATTCTCTGATCCAGACAAAGTAGGCAGTTCTAAGTGAACATCCCAGACATTTAGTCCTGGAAGGACTATATCTTCAGACTAAATGCAAAAGTGAAATACACTCAACATAACAAAAGCCTGACATGAAGTCTCAACAGAATCAAGGTTATTCACTAACAAATTAACTGCCTGCCAGAACAGAACTCAATACTCTTAGTAAAGAGAACATCATCAAGAGCCTTTGCAACATAGCATCCACAATGTCTAACATACAGTATTATATTACTGGACATGTAAAACAGGAAAAAGTGATCGATACTCAAGTGATGAAACAGTCAATAAAAGTAGACCCAAGAAAATCCAGACGCTGGAGTTAGCAGACAAGGACTTTAAAATATCATACTTATGTTAAAGAAAACAGGTGAAAAGATGAACTAAATGGATGAAAAGATGGAGTATTTCAATAGAGAATTATAGACTTTATTAAAAAAAAATTCAATGGGGCTTCCCTGGTGGCGCAGTGGTTGAGAGTCCGCCTGCCGATGCAGGGAATGCGGGTTAGTGCCCCAGTCTGGAAGGATCCCACATGCCGCAGAGCGGCTGGGCCCATGAGCCATGGCCGCTGAGCCTGCACGTCCGGAGCTTGTGCTCCGCAGCGGGAGAGGCCACAACATTGAGAGGCCTGCGTACCACAAAAAAAAAAAAAAAAAAAAAAAAAATTCAATGGATGTCCTAGAATTAAATGCAACTTTGAAATTAAAAACACAATGAATGACTCATACATTGTTGGTGAAACTGTAAAATGGTACAGCAAATTAGGAAAACAGTTTGGAAGTTTCCTAGAAAATTAAATATACATTTACCATATGACCCAGCAATCTTACTCTTATTTATCCAACTGAATGAAAACATTTGTTCACACAAAACCTGAATGTTCACAGTGGCTTTATTTGTAATTCTCAACAACTTGGAAAAAACCTAAATGTTCTGCAACTTGTGAACAGATAAAATGTAGTATATCCATACAATGGAATACTACTCAGCAATAAAAAGTGTTGAAGCTCCTGTTACATGTCACATGGATGAATGTCAAGTGCATTATATTAAATGAAAAAGCCATATTGTATTATTCTATTTAGCTGTCATTCTGGAAAAGACAAAACTATAGGAACAGAAAATAGATCAGTGGTTCTGAGGGGATCAGAGTTGAGTGGAGAGGTTGCCTACAAAGTGGCACAAGGCAATTGGTGGGGAAGGTGTTGATGGAATTGTTCTATATTTTGGTTGTGGTTATATGAGAGTATACATTTGTCAAAACTCATACAATTTTATACTATAAAGGGGGAACTTTACTTTCTAATGCAGTTTAAGAAACAATATGTTGAATGGGTTTAACTGCAGACTGGATACAACAGACAAAAGTAGGGGACTCGGGCTTCCCTGGTGGCGCAGTGGTTGAGAGTCCGCCGGCCAGTGCAGAGGACATGGGTTCATGCCCTGGTCCAGGAAGATCCCATATGCTGCGGAGCGGCTAGGCCCATGAGCCATGGCCGCTGGGCCTGCGCGTCCGGAGCCTGTGCTCCGCAACAGGAGAGGCCACAACAGTGAGGGGCCCATGTAACAAAAAAAAAAAAAAAGTAGGGGACTCAAAGTCAGGTTAATAGAAAATATTTAATTAAAGCACAGAGGAGGAAAAAAGTGGGAAAATAAGGAACAGAATAGAAGAGATGTAGAATATGGTCCAAAAATCTAAAACACAAGTGAATGGAATCCTAGAAGGAGAGGAAAGACAGACTAGGACAAAATCAAGATGTGAGGAAATAAGAGCCAAGAATTTTACAAATATGAAGAAAGTTACCAACCCACTGATTCAAGAAGCTCAATAAACCCAAGGAGGATAAATACCAACAATAACACATCATAGTAAGGCATATTATGGTCACATGGCTAAAACTAAAAGATAAAGACAAAAATCTTTAAAAAGACACTTTATCTTCAGGAAATTAACAGTAACATGACAGCTGACTTCTTTAACAGAAATGATGGTAGCCAAAAGGTGACATATTTAAATCTTTAAATTGCTGAAAGGAAAAGAAGAACTGCCAACTTTGAATTCTAAATACAGTAAGTGTCTCTGTAAAACCTGTAAAACACAGATATCCTTAGATAAAAACAAAAGTTGAGAGAAATCATCCAGCCCAGATGGAAACACTGAAGAGCAATAAGGAATAAATAACAGATTTCAAATTTATGTGGACAATATAAAAGTCTATTGAGAATTTAAAACACAAATAACATCCTGACTTTATAACACATGTTAAAGTAAAATATATGACAACAATAACACAAAAGAGGAAGGGAGGTAAATGGAGTTAAACTATTATAAGGTTCTTGAATTCTTTAGGACATGGCAAAAGTATACTTTAAGGTACACTGTGATAATATAAGGACACATTTTGTAGTACCCAATGTGATGACTACAGGAAGGATACCAAAAGGTAAAACAAAAGTTTATTTTGGAGACAAAATGGAATAGTTTAAAGAAAAAAAAAAGGCCTATATATATAAAGAAGGCAGAAAAGGAAAAGGATAAAATAAATAGAAAACAAGTAAGATGGTAACAAATTCAACTATATCAATAATTACATGAAATACAGATGGACTTAAACATTCTAATTAAAAGATAAGGATCATCAGATTGAATAAACAAACAACCTCAACTATCAATACAAACTCTTTTTAAGAAGCACACTTTAAACATAAAGGCACAAATTGGTGAAAATAAAAGATGAGAAAAGATATACCATGTAAACACTAGCCAAAATAAAGCAGGTATGGCTATATTAAAATCAGACAAAGTAGAACTTAAGTCAAGAAACATTGCAAATGAAAAACAAAATGACATTTTGTATTGATAGAAGATAAATTCAACAGAAAGGTAACTATCTTAAATTTATAAAGACTATAATTAACATGGCTTTATCAGTTGATATAGCTTTGAAAGTTGACAAGATTCTAAAAAAAATAGACTAATTCACAGCCATAAGCGATACCATTCTCAGTAACTGATATAAAAAGCAGATAAAAAATGAGTAAAGAAATAGAATATTTGAATAACATGATGAACCAACTTGATTTAATTGACACACATAGAATTTGTATTCTTTTCAAGTACACATTGGGTACTTAACCACAATAGATCGTATGATAGGTCACAAGTCAAGTCTGAACAAATTTCAAAGGACTGAAATCATACATGGCACATTCTCTGACCACTATATAGTTAAATTACAATTCAATAACAGAAAGACAAGTAGAAAATTCCCAAACTCTTTGAAATTAAAAAACATATTACTATGTAACACATAAGTCAAAGAAGAAATCACAATGAGAGTTAGAAAACATTTTGAGCTGAATCGAAATAAAAATAGGTTATTCCAAAACTTGGGGAATGCAGCTACAACCATGTTAAGAAGGAAATAAATATATAGTAAGAGAAAAAAGGCTGAAAATCAGTGCTGTAAACATCCAACTCAAGAAGTTAGAAAAACAAGTCAAAGAAAACTGAAGGTAGGAAATAAAAATGAGTAGAAATCAATTCAACATAAAACTAACATACAGTAGAGAAATCAGCAAAGCCAAAAGTTGGTTCTTTGAAATACTAATTATATATATAGGGATATTAATAGTATGTAGGCTAAAACACAAATTAACAATATTAGGATTAAATAAATAGAACACAGCTACAGGTTCTACAGACACTGAAAAGATAAGAGGATATTTGAAAATGAAGATGTAATAGACAAATCCCTTAAAAATGAACATCCCAAAACTGATATAAAAAAATTTAAAAATCTGAATAGTTCTGTAACTATTAAAGAATTTGTAAGTAGACTTCCCCATAAAAATGGAAAACTCCATGCCCAGACTGCTTCGGTTGTGAAGTCTTCCAAGCAATGATGAGACAAGTAACAACAATCTTACACAAACACTTCCAGAGAATGAGAGGGAAAACATTACAACTCATTTAAAGACCAATATAATTTTGCTGCCAAAACCTGACAAGATTATCTCACTCACACACACACACACACACACACACACACACACACACACACACACACAAGAATTATTACAGGGAAATACTATTGTTCATAAACCTAGAAGTAAACATTCTAAGCAAAATATTAGCAAATAGAATCCAGTGATATAGGAAAAAGATAAAGTATCATGACTAAGTGGAGCTAATTCCAACAATGCATGGTTGGTTTAATGTTAGAGAATCAATGAATGTAACTTATCACATTAACAGAATAAAAGAGGGAAAAAAATTTCAATAGGTGCTGATAAAGCATTTGATGAAATCCAACACCTACTGCTGATTCAAAAAACAAAACCAAAAAAAACCTGTTGGTAAATATGGAATAGAAGGGAACTTCTTAATCTGACAAAGGATGTATCTAAAATAATCTAGGGCTTCCCCAGTGGCGCAGTGGTTGGAAGTCCGCCTGCCGATGCAGGGGACGCGGGTTCGTGCCCCGGTCTGCGAGGATCCCACGTGCCGTGTGAGCCATGGCCGCTGGGCCTGTGCGTCCGGAGCCTGTGCCCCGCGGTGGGAGAGGCCACAACAGTGAGAGGCCCGCGTATCGCAAAAAAAAAAAAAAAAAAAAAAAAAAAAAAAAATAATCTAAAACTACCATAATACTCAATGATGAAATATCAAACACGTTTCCCCTTAGGTTGGGAATGAGACAAGGATATCCTGTCACCAGTTCTATTCTACATTATACAGCTAGGAGGTATTAACTACTAAGAAAACTAGTTTAAAAGGTATACAGATTTGAAAGGATCAGGCTAAATTTTCTTCATTCACAGATATTATTGTGCCACTTTCTGAAATGATAGAAATGTCCTATATCTTAATTTAGGTGGTAGTTCCACAGGTATGTGTGTGTATGAATACATATATATGTATGTAAAAAGCTATTCAGTATACACTTAAGATTTGTGCACTTTACTTAGGTAAATTATACCTCAATATAAAAAATCTAACAAGAATGCATTAGTGCAATTGGCTAAATGGCCTTTTAAAAATAAATTTTAATGGAGCAAGACAGAGAAAATGTTGCTAACTGTTGAGGCTAGGTAATGGGTACATGAAAGTTTATTTTCTCTACTTTTGTGTATGTTAGAAATTTCCCCAAATGGAAAGTTAAATAGATAAAAAATTTTACACAGACTTTAAAATTCACCTTCTTCGTTATCTTGAAAGTTAAATAACACTCTTACCTTTCCTTCTGTTGCTTTCTTTGTTGATGAAATTTCTTTCATAAGCTTGGGAATTTCCCTGTCAAATTGTAAGAGAATTCTTTAAATTTCTAAGGTGTAATTCTTTACAAAAATATTTTAAGATTACAAAATGTACTATCATGTATTTAGTATTTTAAAAATGTGGAATAAAAATTAAAATGAGTTCACATACTCTAATACAACTGCAATATGCCGATGTCGAATTCTGACCCAGAGGTCATCATCTTCTTCAAGGATTGCCTCCTTTTCTTTCCCATCGGTTTTATATCTACAAGTAGAGAGAAGTATGAACTTTTTGATTATTTTCCCACCCAAAAAGTTAAAGAAACATTTTTATAAACAATAATTTTAAGACACAGCTCAAGAAACTGAAGAGTACATCCACTATTTTGGGGGATAATGAATACATATTCAAAACTAAGGCATATTGCTATCTATACAATAAAAATCAAAGTGCTATATCTACCAAGACCTTTTTACTTTCAATGTTAGGTTTAGCTGTCAATATTATAGAGTTTTATCTCAGCAAAGTGGTATCTTAGAAACAAAAATTCAACGTTCCACAATCAACTTTAAGAACAAGAGTGAATACACTAACAATTTGTATTCAAGTTGCTCAAAACACTACTTTGACATACTAATAACCATCAACTCAACTATCAAACATCCATCAAGAAAAGAAATGTCACCCCCTAATGCAGCCTATTAAGTACTGCAGGTGTTTCAGAGTTGGTACAAAATTCACAAACATATATCATCTGTTTCTATATTCTTCCCTAACCCTATAACCACATCTCCTTTAAAGAATGGGAAAGGAAATGAGAGAAAAACTAGTGTAGCCATTAAAAACCTTGATTGCTTTAATGAGTTCTACTGAACTGAGAGGCAATTCAAGAGGTTCATGAAATTACTCAAAATAGGCTTCCTGACTGCTTCCCCAAAAGTAATTCCTCGCTTCTCTTTTTATGCAAATAAGCCAGCCTCCTTCCATTTGTGGAGCTGGAAAATTCAATCACCCTTGGGACTGTCAACGTCCTCAAGATCAGAATGGACAGCACTGAGCTTTCCTAGCACTGGATAGCGGACAATAAATGGAGATTTCTGCTGTATAAATATAATCATTTCTACAGTCCCCCAAATTTCAGGCCCCATCTACAAAACCATCTACCTATTTGGTCTTAATTACAGATGCCCAAAGGCAGAACGACTGTGCTTAATTACAAGACTGCACTAAGGACAGAGGCCTTTTTGTCATTTAAAATGTCACTTTGTACTTCTTTAACCTTTGATTTATAAACAAAGATTAAGGTAGCAGGCCTGACAATACTAAAAGATGATGACAATCCTAAGAGTACATTTAAAGAGGTCACCAAGATGAAGAACACAGTCTGGATACTTAGAAGTTTCTGCTCTGCATTATTTCCATTAAAAATTGGGATGGAGCACAACACACAGGGAGTTCGTGCTTCCACCTAGTCTTATCCCTGGACTTTTTCGATTCATTCAAAAAATCTCTGACTTCTTTGTTTTTGTTTTTAAATAAGTCTCTCCATTACTCTTAAAAAATTAAACCTTGCTTTGCTTGCCAGCAAACCTAGGGAGATAAATTTTTTTTAAAAGTATTAGGTTAGAAATGTCTGAAACTTATGTCAATAGTCTGGAACCAAATTCTTAAGTGCCCATCAGTTTAAGTCGTTTCTAAATCTCTTGAGCAACGTAGCTTTAGAGACCTAAAGGATAAGAGAGGTAAACAACATGCTTTCTGAAAATTCTGAAAAAACTGCTTAAAACTACTTTTATATTAGAATAACTACTTTTATATTAGAAAAATGTTGATCTACGTCATCTAACATTAATATAAATAAAGAAAAACTCAGAAGCCAGGATTTGACCAGAATGCAAATAAAAATACAACAGAAAATACAAAATTAGTTTAACAATATTTGGTTTAAGAAAAAATATTAAGTATTATAATTAGCACAAGGTTTTGGATCTTTTTAATCTATTAAAATTACTAAATTAATTTAAACATAAAATTTCAGAAAACTAATTTTCTTTTTCATTACTATGCTCAAAGCAGTAAATCTTAGCTGAAAAATGCCAATTTGGATTTAGAAATTATGATATCAAATAACATGTTATATATTTATGTGTATATGTGTGTGTATATATATACACACACTCATAAATGATGCACAAAGGTACAATAAAATGGTTCCTTAACAGAAAAGTGATTTCATTTTTCATTTAGCTACTTGATATTACTTTTGAAGTTAATATGCTTATATCAGAGTTAAGTCAATAATAGGTACCAAATTGGTAAACTTGTATCTATTCTCAATAACCATCCTAATGAGGTTCCTAGTCTTCTAATCCTTTAAAATACACTATGTTGACAAGACACACATATAGATAACTTTTGGATGTGTGATTCAGAATAATCACAGCCTAACCAATTTGAATATGGTTTTCACTTCAATAAATATAGTAGTGAGCCTGGTATTTTCTGAAAAGTACAAATTCCAGCTGTTTAAAATCTATTTTTGTTGTAGACACAGTTAAGGAAGCAAATACACTGAAAAAGCTTCAAAGCAGTTAAATTACCCATTAACAAACAAGGTCAAGATATTTTTAACAGATTATGATTATAGGGGTAAGAGAAGGATAAAGTCTCTGAATGAAAAAGGTTACAGGGGCTTTAGATTTCTGGTGCCTGCACGAATCATTAAATGCTAATATCCTATCCTGTTTGTATATGCCCTATATATTCCCTTCAAGTTATACTTGCTTGTATGTATCATTCTCAATCGGCAGTAGATCATATGCCATTGCCTGAAAGGTCAGTTCATGCAGGACAGTGGACACAGGGTCAAAGCCACGATCAATTATTATGAGCTGGGAATGAGTTTTACCCTGGAATAACAAAATAAAATTATCTTAAGAAACTTCAATTTCTTTGTATGAACACATTTTTAGTATCTTAGAAAACAAAAGCAGACTTTTCCTAAGTTCTGCCCCATTCCTAAGAATGTGAAGTTATATTAAAACAGAAAAATCTGAGTGGTATAACAGGGGAAAAAAATAAGACTACAAAACCAAAAGCTTTCATAATTAGAGTAAGAGGCTATACTCAATAACACAATATTGTGAAAATTCCTTTAAAAAAAGTAACATTTGGCCTGCACTAAATCTATTTCCTTAGGAATTCAGCTCCATAAACACTAAAACTGATCTAAATTATGAATAGTACTTATTACTTGAGCTCTTTATGCTATACCCTGTGCTAAGCAAGAAATATCTGTATTATTTCATTCTTATAGCAACCCTGTGAGACAGGGATTATTAACTCCATTTGACAATGGGGGCATTAAGGCTTAAAATTAAGTAACTTGCCCAAATCACATAGCTAGCTAGTATGTGGTAGAATGGCGATTCAAACCCAGGTCAGCTTCACTCCATGGCCTGTACTCTTAACCATTACGCATTTTAAAAGATTTCACTGATGCCAGCTAAGATGGTAAATTACAATGAAAGCTTTGGTATCATTAACTCACAAACAGCACTAATCATTAAACAGTGAATAATAGTGCTGGGAAAAATCATTGTTAATATCAGTATCTTCCATACTTCATTTTAAAAAGTAATAAATTCTCTGGATTATTATTTGGAGCAGTAAGAGATAACTACAACTCAGACAAACATTTCTTATTTATTTACTTCCAGCAGACAAAGGTAAACTACATAGAATAGATCTTTAAAATTTTTTTTAGTTAACCATTCACTCATTTAAATAAACCTTGAGATAGTATGGTATAGTGATTAAAAGCACAGCCTCTGGAATCAGGTAGATCTGGGTGTGAATCCAGCCTTGACCACTTTCTCTCTTTCATTTTTTAAAATTTTTTGGCCACGCCACACAGCTTATGGGATTTTAGTTCCCTGACCAGGGATCAAACGTGGGCCCTCGGCAGTGACAGCATGGAGTCCTAACCACTGAACCTCCAGGGAATTCCCAGCCTTGACCACTTTCTTGTTGTACAACTTTGGACAAATTGCTTAACTTGTTAATATCTCAGTATTCTCATTAAAAAACAAACAATATATATATATTTAATCAGAACCTCTGCCCTATAAGATTACTGTAAAGATTAAATGTAATAATACCATAAACACTTATCACAGTGCCTGGCACTTAGTAAGCCCTCAATACATGTAAGTTATGAGTCTTCAGAAATATGAATAGGAAAAAGACTGTGCAATATAAGTGCTATATCAGGGCTTGGGGCTATGAAAGTATGTGAGAGGAAGAATCGCTTGACCTGAAGAGTGAGGAAAGACTTCAAAAAGGAGGTGACACTCTCTCAGGTCCTTGAATGAAGAAAAGGTATCAAGCATTTGAAAGGTGTATAATTTCTGAAGCAGAAAGAATGGAAAGGACAAGTTTGGTTTTTGTGGATTTTCCTTTTTATCACTGAAATCATGAAGGACTAAAGGGATATTAACTAATATAATGATCATTTATCTCTTTCCTCATTCAACAAACATTGACTACCTACTATACTATGTATACCGAGCCATTATCTTCATAACTACAACCAGGACAACAGATTTCACTAGTCCTCCAAACCAAAAACTAGTAACTTTTAAAGTTCTGAACCAACATTACATCTACTCTTACACCCTCCATTCTAGCCAAGTTGTTTGTGAATTTTGCCTTTTTCTCTATGCCTCTGGCCAAAGAACCCTGTTATCCAAGAAAAAAACTCCCTCTTCTGTTATACTCATTCTTCAAGCTCAAGGGCCTCTTCCTCTAGGATGCCTTCCAAGACTCCAGTTACAATAAGATTAAGCCCCAGCCTATGTTCCCACTACATTTCATGTATTCTTCTCTCATTCCTCTTACTACATGCATTGTAATTGGTGGTTTCCTTGCCCATCTCCTCTTCTAAACTATCAACAGTTCCTTATTTTTATTTTTCAGCTACTGTCATATGGCTTCCTAGCCCTGTGGCATCACCTCTGTCAGTCTACTCAAGCTCTTCACTCTCCAACCCAAGCTCAAATGCTAGAATTCCCCAGGTTCTAATCTTAGTCTTAGATTACTTTATATTACCTTGATAAGATAGTAATAGCTATCATTCATTAAACTCCTATTATATGCCAAACACAAGCTAATCTGCCTAATCTTCATACCAACCAAGCAAGGTACATATCATCTGATCCATTTTATAGATGAAAATACAACTCAGAGTATATAATATGTCCAAGAACACAAAGCTGGTGACAACAGTAAAAATTATGATTATTAACTGTTTACTCAGTTGCAAGCACTATTCTAAAAACTTTTTATGTATTAACTCATTTAATCAACTATTTTATAATACAGGTATTCTCTTATTATCCCCATTTTATAGATAAGAAAACTTAGGCACAGAGAAGTTACATCATTTGCTAATTGACGTATCTATGAATTAAATGGCATAGCCAGGATATAGACAAAGTGCTTATTTCAAAACCCTTATCTTCTCCTCTAAGCCACACTGTCTATTAAGACTTCTACTACCACTTATATCAGTGATTCCCAAATCAAAATTGGGGATCTGTGTTAATGATTCTCAAATCAATACTGGAAAATGAATGAACAACAGTTTCCTTGGTTTATAAAGAAAAAAGACAGATTTTATGCATAACCACTATTTGTCTTTTATATGTTACCTTTATTAGGCTCTTTTCATCAATCTTGTAGTAGTTTTCAAGTTTTTTTTCAACAAGCTGAGCAAGCTTACTGGCATTATCCAGAGGTTTACTAGAAATGGAAAAAATGTTCGAACAATTATCTTTCTTTCAAGACACACTTTACAATATCAAGTTGAATTCTAAAATTAAACCATAAATTTATTAATTTAAAAGATTTTATAAACAGGAGAAGTTCAGATAATACATCAAATATAATGCTATATCAAGTTGTCTGGATTTTATCAATGTAAACCTTATCATACGTGCTTCAGATTTTTTTCATATGAAGGAAATATTATAAATAAAACCGCAGCTCCTTTATTCCCCTCCCAATTCCCGGTCTTCTCCCCCACCCCTAGCTACCCCCCCTCCAAGGCAATACTATCATGAATTTGATGTGTATTCTTCCTGTCATTACTATTATTCATATGTTTACTGTTTTATATGTGTTTTAACTGTATGTTTTTACTGTTATATATATGTGTGAGATCTATGTTGACACATATCAAATTTAATCATTTTGGTTCAATATAGTATTCCATCATATGATTTATACTGGATTCTATACATTCATTCACCTAAAGATGGACATTTAAGTCATTCTCAATTTTATACCATTGCAAATAACATTGAAACAAATATCTTTGAACATACATCTCCATGTACATGTTTCTCTATTTTCTCTATATCTCTATATTATTTCTAAAAGTATAATTGCTAGATTATATGGTATGTACATTTTCAACTTTTCCAGATATTACCATATTACTCTCCAAATTACTTGACCAATTATCTCTCCCACTAGCAGTATGAGATCTCCCTACATGCTCTCTTAACATTCAGTCAACTTTCCAATATAGTCTTTTGCATAAAATCTTGTATACCACTGTCTTCTAAAATGATAAAATCATACCCTAAATTGTAACTTCATGACCAGTGACATTAGTATAACTTCTGAGTCTACAAGAAATTGTAAGAAAAGGCTCTTCAATTAGCAAACCAACCTCAAAAATGGAGGCTCTCCTTGTAAAGGGCTTCAAAGTGTTAAAGGACCTTTAGGTTTTATACCTCAAAAGTAAATAAAGAAGCAACTATAAAGAATAATTTATTACACATTTTGCTTTAAAATATTTTCAAAAGGAAATAATTTCATGTTAGAATTACACTTGAAAAGTCCATGAGGCATAAAAGAATACTTTGTGAAAGAACAGGTAGGATTCTAAAAGCCTGATTATTTAACTATTACAATAACTCCAAACAGGTCCAAAGGTGAGCTATTAAATTAGAAATTGGCCTCAGTTATCCCTCAGTATCCACAGGGGATTGGCTCCAGGACCTCACTCAGATTTCAAAATCTATGGATGCTTAAGCCCCTTTTATAAAATGGCATAGTATTTGCATATAAACTATGCATATCCCCCATATACTTTAAATCACCTCTAGATTACTTGTAACACTAATACAGTGTAAATGCTATGTAAATAGTTCTCTGCATGTAGCAAATTCAAGTTTTGCTTTCTGGAACTTCCTGGAATTTTGTTTTCTTAATATTTTCAATCCACGATTGGTTGAATCTGAGGATGCCGAACCTGTGGATACATATGGCTGGCTATATTACATACTCATTTCCCTGAACAGAGCCAAACACCAAGAGTAGAAGCTTGAACAGAGACTGAACTCTAGCAGGAGATAAACCACTTAGTTCAGAATGTAATTAGCATATCACCTATAAGAAAAAGAATGTTTCCAATACCTGAGGTATGAGTGAAGAGCCTGTTTGGTCACATCTGAATTAAGGAGATTTACTATATACTTTCTAGGTAATTAACAGAAGATTTTTTAAATGGTCAAGAATAATGAAACTTAAATATAAAGTACTACATGAATTTGAAATTAAACAATTCATCCAACTACCTCGACAAATGTCAATGTTTAAGTTAAATAAACTTTTAAAACAGAAACAAGTGACATAACTTATTAGTAGTAGTACAGTATATTTACGTCTACTAGTTTATTAGTGTCATACACTATTTTGAGTTCTTTACAGATATTAACTCATTTAATTCTAAAAACAACCTTATAAGGTGAGTACTATGATTGTTCCCATTTCATAGATAAAGAAACTGGGAGCAGAAGGATCACATAGCCAGTAAGTAGCAGAGATTAAAATCCAAGCTGTCTGGCTATACAGAACAACATGAATGTCTAAGAACATAATACTGAACAAAGCCAGAAATAAAAAACATCAACCCCATTTATACCAAGTTCAAAATCAGGCAAAACTAAAATACGTGTTAGAAGTCAAGATAGTAGTTACCTCTGGGGAGGAGACAGGGGGTGATGACTAGAGGGGATCATGAGGGGGGCCTCTGAGATACTGTTAGTATTCTATTTCTTGACCTTGGTGAAGTTAGATAGGTATGTTCACTTTGGAATGATTTATCAAGCCATATAAATATAATTTATGCACTTTACAGTAAACTTTACTTTTAATAAGAAACAAATAAATAAAGGTACATAGTACTAAAGTCAAACTTTAACTTTTAAAAAACTCCAAAAATCGGGCTTCCCTGGTGGCACAGTGGGTAAGAATCCACCTGCCAATGCAGGGGACACGGGTCTGAGCCCTGGTCCAGGAAGATCCCACATGCCGCAGAAAAACTAAGCCCGTGCGCCACAACTACTGAGCCTGTGCTCCAGAGCTTGCGAGCCACAGCTACTGAGCCCGCGTGCCACAACTACTGAAGCCCGCGTGCCTAGAGCCGCTGCTCTGCAACAAGAGAAGCTACCGCAATGAGAAGCCCGCGCACCGCAACGAGGAGCAGCCCCTGCTCACCGCAACTAGAGGAAGCCTGCATGCAGCAATGAAGACCCAATGCAGCCAAAAATAAAATAAAAGCTGTGACAAAGTGAGAGAGAGGCACAGACATATATACACTACCAAACGTAAAATAGATAGCTAGTGGGAAGCAGCCGCATAGCACAGGGAGATCAGCTCGGTGCTTTGTGCCCACCTAGAGGGGTGGGATAGGGAGGGTGTGAGGGAGGGAGACGCAAGAGGGAAGAGATATGGGAACATATGTATATGTACAACTGATTCACTTTGTTATAAAGCAGAAACTAACACACCATTGTAAAGCAATTATACTCCAATAAAGATGTAAAAAAACAAAAAACAAAAAAACCCTCCAAAAATCTATTTAAAATGGCTACTGAAATTAAATACCATAGATATTTAGATACTATAACCAGTATCCAGATACTATGACTATTTAAATTTGGTGGAAATTCAATAAAACATTAAATGTAAGATGGTATTCCCCATAGGACAACAAAGACATTCTTCTAAGCATTCCTTAAAATTAAACTCATGAAAAATATACATGTAAACCATACCAAATTTAAGCTCTGAAATTCAGTAATAGAGGCTATTAGTTACTCTGAAATTTAAGCCTTAAACTTTAAATCTCCTATATGTACAGCATAATTTTATAAAGAAAATAAATTCTGCAAACCAACACACAAAAGCACAGAGACATTACTTACCTGTACACCAAAGAGCAAATAGACAGCATAACATATACAGGCACCACTGAGTGTCTTACCTTTTATATCTTACTCCAGGATTTTCATCCAGGGTAGCACATACTGTAACTATCTGCTCAGCCATCGCTTCCATGACGATATCTTTTCCATTTGCATTACTAGGGTCTGGACTGTAACAGTAATAGAATGCATCTGGTACATCAAGAGTATATACCTAAGTTAGGCCAAAAAAAGTCACACTGTCAATTTAGAAACTTGACTAAAAATATATATCTAGAAAAACACAGCTATTCCTTGGGATTCTAAAAAAAAAATACTTGCACCAACCATGCTGTTTCCTGAAACAACTGTGTCTTTACCTTAATCAAATCTCATTTTCTCTGTCATCTTGATTTCATCCTTTATTTCTTTTCTCACTCTCCTTTCCTGCTTAGTCTACCTCTCTCCTTCAATTCTTGTTTCATATACAGATTGTACTCTTTGATTTTCTCTACCTGTGCAGCAGATGAAGAAATCTGAGGTGGTCAAATAAAAATAAAAATCTAAAACCTGGCACAAAGAAATAAGACAAAGCCAAAATTGGTCTATATATTTGACATACATTAAAATCTTAACCCATTAGAGAATAACCTAGAAATTTTCCTAAGTTGATATATATTTCAACTCTTTAGCTTATACTCTTTTTTTTTTTTTTTTTTTTTCCTTGCGTTATGCGGGCCTCTCACTGTTGTGGCCTCTCCCATTTGCGGAGCACAGGCTCCGGACGCGCAGGCTCAGCGGCCATGGCTCACGGGCCCAGCCGCTCCGCGGCACGTGGGATCTTCCCGAAACGGGGCACGAACCCGCGTCTCCTGCATCGGCAGGCGGACTCCCAAGCACTGCGCCACCAGGGAAGCCCTAGCTTATACTCTTAATGTCCTTAAAATAGAGACATACTTCCCCAAAAGACACAGCATTGTGCCAGACATAGTACTGGTCTTATGATATATACAGTGAAACCTCACAGACATTTTTCAACTAATAAAAGCATTTACTTACATGCAAAGAATTGGATTAGAGATTTACTATTATTGTGTTATTTGAAGAATACAAAAGAAAAAGCTCTCTAATTGGAGTTGAGATTTTCCCATTAAATTAATTTTAATTTTGTTTTTTAAACAATGATAGTAATCCCCCTTAGCCTAGGATAATGTATTGAGTGTAAAAGTAGACATGTAATAAACATTATAGGTTAACTAATGAATTATGAAAAAACTTCCCGGCATTTCCTTTCACACAAAGTAATTCGTTTCTCTGAACATAACCCATCACTAACAGCAGCAGCCTGAACACAGACTGAGATTTAGCTGAAGCTACCACTTATGTCTGTGTTGCTGTATTAACAAAGTCTTAGTTGCTGTATTAACTGCCAACAAGCACCCTACAGCTGGACTGTGGCTTTCTCATAGCATTCTACCCCATTGCAGTAGATAATATCTGTTCAAAAATATTTATTGCCCTCCCTACAGGGCCTCTTCCTATGGGAGTATACTTCCCACTCATTGACATCAGGCTTGCTACGGTCACTGGAATGTGAGTAGAAGTGACATGTGCCACTTCCCTACAGAAGCTTTAAAAGCCACTGTATGGCTCCACCATTTCTCTTTTCCCTCTGCTATGTCCCAGGCAGAGGCTACTCCTTCAGTCTAAGTCCCAGAATGAAGAGGATGTAGAGCAAAGCCCCAGTCAAACCAAAATGGACACTAACGTGAAGGAGAAATAAACTTTGTTGTTGTAATGCACTGTGATTTGGGGAGTTGTTACCACAGCTTAAATTAATCTTAGCTATTATCTAATACTCTAATGAACCAAATACAATTTTGGAGCTGGTTTTCATTCTACACTCACATCTTCCCTTTCCTTCCTTCTCCTCCCCCCACTTTCCATCACCACCATGACATGTTCCTTTAGACTATTACTAAATGCTTTCTTCATCTCCATGACCCACAATCAGCTCCTTAAATATAGGAACTCTCCCCCCACAACCTCCATCTACTTTTCTTCCTAAATTATAGCCAGCTTAGCTCTGTTTCTACCTAGATACAATCTAGCACCCTCTCCACTAACTATACCAGACTTTTTGTACTCCCTGAGGTCCACTGTAAACAAACTCCCTTATATTCTTTAATGCTTTCCATCTAATTGCCCTAACGTATATGTGACAGCATTAATTACCTTAAACCCTTTGAAAGGGAAAG